TTTTTTTTTCTATTCTTTATTGATTTTTATCCAAACAGATTATAAGTATTAATCTTAAAATTTAAATTTAGATATGATCTATAATACAAGACTTATTTATTAATAAATTCAAATTTAAGTTTAGCTCATATTTTAGTTCATATGAATATTCTATGAATATAATACGAATTGAGTTTTATTAAACATTTTTATGTTAATAAATTTAATTATTTATGCATTAATTATTTTTATACTTATTAGATATCATGGCAAAATTACATATTTAGTTTATTTTTTCGGTACATACATACTTAATTTTATAATAAAAATGCTAATGGAGAATTGAAGCTATATATTAATATTTGTTGCACAAATAGTGTCTTGCACTTACATAATCTTGACTCAAAAGTTCTAACTAATTATGTTGTCATCTGAAATGCAAAAAAATGGTAACGTTTGTAATAGCTACTAAGCAAATAATTTCACAACTAAATCATCCTTCAATTTTTTTTTTTTTTGATATTTACAATAAATTACCTCAATTTCATGCAATTCAAAACTAATCCCTAAATATAAGATATGAAGGTTTCAGCACAACATCAGCTTGTGCTCTAACTGCAAGACTTAAATTCCGTACCTTGCCTGCAAGAAGACTCGCTTGTGCTGGTGGTTCCAAACCTTGGTTATGGTTCAGTGATCGGTGTCAGTATGAAGATCATCCATATCTTTTGACTATTTGTATATTCATTTCACGGATTAATGCCAACTATCGTCCCTTTACTGTACAAAAAAATTTAATTTAAATCTTCTACTTTTAATTCACCTCATGTCCTCCCTTTATAATTAACTACACATGTCCTTCTTACCATCAGAAAATGTATTAACGTCGCTTCTGTCCAATTTCCATCCAATTGAGATAAAGGACATCAACACCACACAAGTTATACTCCAATTAAACGAAATGGAGTTGTATTGTAGATTAGCTAATAATGAAATGGTTCTAACTCCAATAAGATGTTTTAATGGTTAAGAATTTGACATTTTAAGTTAGAGATTTTAAATTTGAATTTTAAGTCAAACAAGAAAGGATTTAGAGAAATGAGAGGAATTTATGAAAAGAAGAAGATTGTTCCTTCTTGTACAATCCATTCAAATGTACAAAAAAAATATAATGTACAAAAAAAGTATAATGAAATAGTTCTTTTTAACCTTTGCCTTAGGGTATAAATTAAAAAAGTAATTAATGCATTTTTTATTATTAAATTATACGAAAAGAATAAAGTTTGGTTTTAATTTTACAACTAACTAATTAAATTAAGACATTTGACATTAATGTTAAAATTAATATCAACTTTTTTTGTTTTTCTACATATATTAATAGCTAAAACATGTATTAACTACATTCTTGATCTGTGTTCTAAGGATGCAAGTTAAAAAAATCCTAAGGAAATTTATTATTTATTTTATTAATCAATATTTAATTTAAAAAAAATTAAAAAATGTTAATTTCTCTTAAGTTAAATATGTAAATTGCGTTTCAAAATTATTATGTGAAAGTAAATTACCATTTTAAAAAATCAGTAATTATCACTCTAAATTTATATTTTTTATGAAATTGGTTTAAAATTTATAATTATCATTAAATTATTATTTTTGAAATCTAATGAAATGGTAATAGTAATGATTAAATTTAAATCAATTTCTCGAAAATAAAAATTTAAGGTGACAAATTACATCAATAATTTTTTAGCAATAATTTATGAAAAAAGTGCTTGTCAGCCTTACCTCCTAAAAATTAAGAGGAAAATTATCCCTAAAACGACGTCGTTTCAATAAATTTTTATTAAAAAAGACTAAACTACCATATTTTTAAAATATGTATTAAGGTGATTTTTGTCTTTTTTTCCTCCTAATTTTTTGAAGGTAAGGCAGACAAGCACTAACCCCATAATTTATTTCAATGTAATAATTTTATGTAGAAATCTGCATCTTTTGCTTTTTTCTTGAATTCTTATAGTTTGGATATAAATAGTCTTCCTTTATTATATATATCTATGAAGAATTAATCTTAAAATACATATAAATTAAGTCAAACACTCTGAATTGTTAAATAAAGAAAATTTTAAACATATGCCTTAAAAGTAAAAATATA